TTTATTTATTTATTTATTTTAATATTTTAATCCTCACCAGAGGATATGTTTTTATTGATTTTAGAGAAAGAAAGAAGGAGAGAGAGAGAAGCATTGACGTGAGAGAGGGGCGTTGCTCGGTTGCCTCCCGCACACACCAGGGTCTGCTTTGCTCAGAGGATGCTTAGATGCCTGAGGCCGTTTAAAAATTCTAGGTTACTGTGCAAATACAGAAGTCAACAAGATCTGCACCTTGACACTTGCTGCCTGTGAACATGACCCAGCCTAACGTGTTAGTGGTTTTATTTTAAAGTGCTTGAGAGTCGCCTGAGTGCTCGCGCCCTGATGTTTTCTACAATGGTAAGGAGCCACTTAAGTGCAACCTGTGAGGAGGCACTAAAGGTAGACCCACAGCACATGGGATTAATATCCACTAATCTCGTGTGCACACAGTAGTAGATTTGATTTAATTACAAAGGTTCACTGATTCAGGTTTACTTGGTAGGTAGGAGAGGAGGGGGCAAGAACGGATGGAAAAAAAGTGCAAATTTCTCTATGAAACATGAAGAGCCTACACTAGGAACTGAGATATATGAGGCAAGTTCAAAATGTGAGCTACTCCAAGCACAGTACAATCAACATTATTTTTACTCCAGATTTTTCTTACAAAAGATACACAAAGAAAGAAATAAGGTAAATGCTTCCCTAAGGCAATAAAGATGAAGTAAAAAAATAAATAAATAAAAATGGTAAGGCCTGGGTCAGGTAGCTCAGTTGGTCAGAGCGTCAAATTGACATGCCAAGGTTACAGGTTCAATCCCTGGTCAGGGCACATACAAGAATCAACCTATGAATGCATAAGTAAGTGGAACAACAAATGGATGTTTCTCTCCTCTGGCCTCTCCCTTCCTCTCTCTAAAATAAAAATTTTAAAAAGCTAAAACAAAAAGGATACTTATTCGAAACATTTATGCTGTTACAAATGAAGAGAAAGAGTTAGGAGATTTGAGGGTATTATAAATATCGTTGATGACTATGCTACAGAAACCGAATGCATTTTAAATACAGATTTATCTGACAGCAAAGTGAAAAACAAGACAGCTAGATACATTACTTACTCCCTGAGAACTGCACACCATATAGGCACTGGCAATAAGCAGTACACGTAGTAAGTCCAGGGACAGGCTTGAATCAGCAGGAAAAATGCCATTAAAATCCCAATAGCCACAAAACTACACAGCAGGAGGTGGCTTGGTTTCTGAAAATCAAACAAAACATTGAAACACTTTCAAACTCATACTGATAGGTTTTCAAGAGATTTTATGAAGTGAAGAAAATGCATTTCTTTCAATGATTCTACAACTAGGTGATTAATCTAAGAAATGCATTTTTCTGTCATTGGAGAAGCACAGTACAGAAGAAAAAGCTGGATACCATGGAATGGTTGCAATAAGGCAATTCTCAACTTAAAAGTAACTATGTTCCTAATGTTTGTTTGCAAGTAAGTTGTTCGGAACTCGGAACATATCTCTCCTTAATAATAATTTAATAAATGTTGATTGAGTTCTGTAACTAGCTCACAAAAACCCATTTAATCCACAATAAACTGTGGGACCTAATCTTCACTTGGAACAACGCTCCTATCTATTCACACTCCAACCTGACACGCTGCCCACTCTCTCCACTGCCCATCACAGTGGGTTCAGTCAGTCATTTCTCCCCTCCCAACCACCTGCCAACAAGAGGCTCCGCAAGGTAAGTCACCAGGGATGGCCCGTGGGTGCTGCCACTTGCTCACTGTATGACTATGAGTATAAGCAAAGTAAAAACTTTCCAGAGACTTAATTTCACTCCATCTATAAAATGGGAACAATAATTCTGTATCTATTTATCAAGGTCAGTAATGCTTAAATAAGATTATGTAAAGAGCTTGACAAAATGCCTGGAATATTACTGCTGCTTCCTAAACAGTGGGGCTATTGCCCCCCTTTTTTATTCTCTCCTGTCTTTCTCACACCAGTCCCAGCAGTCACTACAGAAACCTGAGAGTGAACAGCGCTGGAGGTGGAGATGTGTGAGACGGCACTGGAGGTCCTGCAGCAAGCGGGCAGGAGAGGGGGCAAATGTCAGACAGGCGGGGACGGGCAGGGTCTCAAAGCTGAAGGTGGCCGTGCAGGTATTCACTAAGAGCCAGGACCTGTTTCGCATCATTTTGAGAATAGTAAAATTACAAAATAAGTTTAAGAGTACCAAAAAAAAAAACAAACACTTGAGGGATTTTCTAGAATCAGTGTGATGTGATATAATTACCTAAACCTTTGGTACATAATGCAATAGACGTTACAAATGACATCTACATGCAGGAAACTAAATCATGCAGAATTTGGTTCAGCTGAAGTAAAAATTGAAAGGATTTCAAATAACAAGAGTAGGGGACACATTTTCTACTTTGTCATGAATTGATTCTTGCTTCCTTGCCCCCTCCAAAAAACCCACCTGATGATAATGAACCACATAACGTTAAATATAATGCTTTGAAGAAGTTTTCTGACCACGAGTACTAGAAAGATACAGAGTAATTATGACATGCCAACTAATTATAAAAGAACAGAAAATTAACAGTTAATGCCATAGGGGAATTTAAATTATACAGCTATCTTTATAGCCCTCTTAGGTTAGAGAGTCATTATTATTAATACACCTTCCCAACTAAAGAAATAGAGATAAATGAGAAAAAAAGACCCAACACAACAAAAGCAAATGAAAGATAAGAGTTAGCCTAGTATAACCTGCACACTGTTTGACTGCATTACAAGGAAGTTCCTTCAGTCTTTTTCCTCAGTCTTAGTGATTCTGCACCATCACCAGAATCTTCATGATATTTTCTAAACATACCTTGACTTCTTTACTAACGCCTCTGGGAAGGCTGGCATGAGACTTGATGATCAACACAGAAGCATAAGATGCCCATCCCACAAAACCAAGCAGAACATTGATGCCCAGAAAGAATCTGTCGTAAGTGTGATAATAGGACAATCCTTTTAATGAGAGATCGATCAGCTCCTTGCAAAGGAAGACCTGGGGAGAAAGAAAAATGTAATTTGCCACATGGAATGAATAAGAAACCTCAGTTTCAAAGGAAGAAAAATGATTAAAATTAGAGTAACTGCAGACGACAGAGCAAAAGTAGATTTTAATTGTTCAAGGATCGTCTTGCAAAGGACAAAAAAAATTCCTGAATAAAATGAATGTTTAAATCTTGATACGAAAGGGCATCTTAAATGTAGACTCTGAGATGTGTAGTGACTCAAAATGATTCATTTCGTGGAAATTATCTTCAGGTGACATACTAAAGAAAGAAATAAAGGCTCTCAAATATAGGTCCCAAATAATGGAGGTGCCTACCTGTATATCATTTCTGACATTCCATATTAGGTTACCAAAATCAGTTATAAAACATCATTAAAATAGCTTACTATTTCAGAGGACAATAGCTTATTTTAAAACCATGACAAAAATAAGCATTAGAAATGCATGGTATTACTTAGGCAATTTCAGGAACTGAAAATAGAATTCGTTCCTACTTTAAAATTAAATGACCGTGTAACAAAGAGAAAATTAAAGAAAAGTATAGTTGGGTAGGAGCTGGGAAAAGTCAAAGCTTCTATATGAATCAGTAGACTTCTGATGGTGTGTTAATTCCAAATGCACAAACATATCACATTCTAAAATATTATGCAAAGCAGTGTGACAGAAACTTGGATTATATATTTTCATTATAGAAAATAGCAACTGTTCATTTCCAATGCTAACCCAAAAAAGCCTACCTATTAATACCATCTGAACTAAGGGAAGCATGTCTAGGGCTAAAGCAGCTACTAAGGAAAGTCAGCCCTTCCTTGAGGATTCAGGAAAGCTCCCTGGTCTGCCCACCTGAATCTCCATTGCTACACCCTGCCCCTCCCCATACCCAACATGGTGATTACCTATTTACATATACAAGGTCTGCATACTTACTGCTTTCTCATACTTTCCCTGTTTTATATAAGATTTTGCTTTTCTTAAAACGTCAAGCTGTTTAGAATCGGAAAGCAACCTACAAAAGAGAAAAAAGGTTTGGTTTAAAATGTTTCCCCATTTCAATTATATTTTTTCTTTTTTGATGAAAATTAAAGGATAGTGAAAATTGAGAAAATAAAAAATAAGTTTTTTTCTAAAAAATAAAAAGAAATTAACCTTGAGCTAAATTGTATTATTACTGGTTATCTGAACTCTTCTAAGACTTTAGCTTATCGTTAAATTTGGTTTTCTTAACTCAAAGTTTCAACTGACAAACTATACTAATGACAGTCAGATAACACATTATTTTAAAGAAATGTAATATTCCAGCCAACAAAGAAATTCTGACTAAATGAGCTTATCAATGGCACAGCAAACAGGGATGTGAGTCCCACTGCTCAGCCCCCAGTAGTGCTCGTGGCAGAAACAACAGAGAAGGCAGAGCCATCCGAGCGCACTGTACCTGAGCCAGACGCCGGGAACTGTCTATCACAGAGCCCCAGGCAGAGCCTAACCAACAACAGAAGCCAGGAAACAATCTGAACCTATTTGCCATTCTTTTCCTGTACCATGTACCTTTTTGGTCCCCCTAGCTTTCATTTGTCTTTCCATCACTTCCCTGTCCTTGGTTTACCACAAGAAAAATACTCCTAATACTGCATAAACAGAGAAAATCTATAATTAAAGACATTAAATTTATGGAATGTAGAAACTGAAATAAATAAATATATTTAAACACAAAATTGAACATATACTGCTTAACTATAACACCTATACTCCTAAAATGAATACTTTCACATTTTAAAACTGCAAAAAAGTTATTTAAGAATATATCAGGTTAGATCATAAAACTGATATTTTTCTATATCAAAAGCTATTTCAAAATGTTGCCACGACCCAGTTCTCTGTTCTTCAGATACCACACATTTTCTCCTAGAAGTCAGAAATGGAATTACTGGGGCAGAGGGCACAGGCATTCTTTGAAGGCTCCATCTAAGCTGAATTTTCCAAATTCTTATAAAACCCTTCTAGTTAATCTCCTTCCCCTTGCCCTGATCTACTTGGCCTCCTAACATACCGGCTGCACCTTCTAACTTACGTGGAATTGACACGGGCATCTCACTGCCCACTTCATCAGTTCTAAACTTTCTGGACTCTTGATGACTGTCTCCTATTCTACTTAATTTCCCATGATCCCAAATGTACACCCTCAGCTATAAAATGGTTAAACTCTTCATTCATCACCAATCTTGTACTTATATCTGAGTTCTGTTCATAAAGACCCTCCCCTCTCTGCTTTCTGAAATCCAATCTCCCTCGCCCTTTATGGTCCTCTCCACATTTCACCTCGTACCATTAGCACTTTAGTGTGGTCTAATGAGCAATTTATTTCTCTTCAATTAAATTTAACCTCCGTGTGGGCCATTAATTATTTCCATTAATATCCACAGTAATACTTAGCAAAGTGCTAAGCACATAAAATGAATCAATAAATCTTAATTGATTAAAATGCTATCAAAATGTTGCAAGCCTAAAAAAGGGAGAGAAATAAGAGGAAGATATACTGTGCCCTTCTTAAAGCACCTAATCATTTGCTAAATTAAATAAAAAGATGAAAAGAAAGGTGGTCTAGAACTAAATTACTTTAAAGTCTTAAAAAGAATGAGAGAGAAAAAAAATTTTTAAACAGAAATATTTATGCCTGGCTGGTGTGGCTTGGAGGTTGAGCGTCGACCTATGAACCTGGAGGTCACAGTTCGATTCTCTGTCAGGGCACATGCCTGGGTTTTGGGCTCAATTCCCAGTAGGGGGCGTGCAGGAGGCAGCTGATCAATGACTCATCAATGTTTCTATCTCTCTCTCTCTCCCTTCCTCTCTCTGAAATCAATAAAATCATTTTTTTAAAAAGAGAAATATTTATGTTTCATTAATTACATCATATCACATCATCATATCATATCATCATTATGTTATATATGAAATACTTAGGTAAAGAAACCAGGGCCAGGCTAATTTATAATTTTCCTAACTGGACTATTTATAAACCTTGGGACATACCAAAGGTTCGGAATACGTCTGGAATTCATCAAAATGTTCTGTACAAACCTCACTGCAGCACTATGACAGAGATTAACCAGAGAATTTATATGCATATGTGCATAGCCCATGGACACAGACAATGGTATGGTGCAGGCCTGGAGTGGTGTAGAAGGGGTCAGTGGGGAAAAAGGAGACATCTGTAATATTTTCAACAATTAAGATAAATTTTAAAAGAAATAAATTAAATTAAAAATTAAATAAATTAATTAAATTAAAATTACTTGAATGGAAAGAAAAAGATTCTTATTAACAACTTGTCCCCCAATATAATTGTTTTTAGTTTCCCATACATTGAGAAGGGGTGCAAAATAAACCATAGTATTGTATATTTTAAACATAAAGAAGTTTTGTGAAAAATGTAAAGTCCAAAACATAAGGTACAATAAGTTAACATTTATATAAAAAGACAAAACAAGTAACAAGAGCAGAACAAGGGTGTTGGCAGGGGATGATCAGAGAAATATCATCTATAAATTAAAATAAAGAAAGAGGACCTACATCTGTCAGCATGAATGAATCCTGAAAATCATACTGCATGGGAAAGAGAATTGTAACCACTTGATAGATTTTTAAAATAGGGATTCAATTATATCACATCATTTTATTTCTTAAGAAAAAAAGAGGCTCTAAAGATATGTGGTAAAATGTTAACATTTCTTAAACTTGGATGGTGGGTACAAGGATTTTTGTTACGGTCTCCATTCTTTTCAGCATGTTTGAAGCACTTCAAAATTAAAATTCTAAATATGTTAGCAAGAAGGATATATATATGTACATGTACGTATGTACACATGATATATATATATAGACAGATACATAAGAAACTGCAACTTCGTCTCCAGGGAAAAAGACTGGAAGACTGGAGGAGAGGAGAGGTAAATTTTTATTGTGTATGTGCATTACTGTCTCATGCACATTTTACTAACCAGTTTAAAAAAAATAAAATTAAAACATTAAGATTTACCCATGGTTACTGACTATGATGGAGAAGCCAATAACTATGGCTATTGCTCCCAATAACCAACCATATGCTCCCACCAGGAACAACTAGAAAGCCTGATAAAATAAAACTCAATTTGCAGATACTGGAGAGCTGCTGAGACCATCAAGAGCTGACGGATTAAAATCTTAGAGAAGGAAACCACAGAGAACTAATGCAACACTCTGCAAACTGTAACCCTTAAGGCATTTGTCATTCTTGTTCTTGGCACAGGGTAAGAGAGTTTGGGCACTCAGCTGCTGATGGAGACAGAATCCAGGAGAGCCTTTGGCAGCCTCATACGGACGGCCACGGGGGTAAAGATTGGCCTGTGGTCAGTGCAGCCAGGACCTGAGGACTCAGAAGGGGAGAAAAGTAACAACATACAGTTTCATTCTGGATTTTAAAAAATCCAAAAGACATGAAAGAAAGCTATCTTCAATTATTTAAACTAATTTGATATAGATTCTGAGGTGCTCTTAAGAAGAATGAGAGAAGGAACTTTTATAAGCAAGAATTCGTATTCTATTAGATACAAACAACTCAGGTAAGGGACAGAGGCCAAGCCCCGACGGGAAAGAGGTGCAAAGGGCAGGGGGCCTGGCACGAGGGCGACTCCCACAAGAGGGCACGGAGCTAAGAGGAGCAGCCCTGAGAAGTGGGCAGAAGTTTCCATAGTCTCAAGAAACACAGCACACAAAACCTGGGGCTCAGGAGTCACCAAAAAGGAAGGGCTCTAGACAACAGCAAGCTTTCAACTGCGATTCCCAGGGGCCACGGAGACGTCGGGAGCTAAGAGGAGACTGAGCAAAACCGACACAGCCTTGAGTCAGAGGGAAGGCAGAGACTCTCTGGAGAATAGACAATCCAGAGCCTCCACAACCTTTACTATACAGTAAGTTCATTCACAAGCTACCAGACTCAACAACAAGACCAATGGAAAGGACAATAGAGACAGACTCACAAGTAATACGGCTATTGGTGTTATCAGGTGTTGACTTTAAAATAACTGTGGCTAACATATTTCAGTAACAGAGAACCAGATAGAACATTGCAGCGAAGAACTGGGGTCTATAGCAGCAAACTGGACAAAGTCGAAGAGAGATTTAGTACATTAGGAGGGAGACAAGTCAGTAAAAGGTATCTCATGTGAACATGAAGAGCAGAAAGAACTGGAAATACAGAAAAGACCATTTAAAAACACAAGTCTATAGACAGTGACAGAAAAGAAGACAAGAAGGCATAGTCCCTCACTTAAAAGATTTTTTAACTCTGTAAAGGAGACTAAAACAAAACAAAACAAAAACCCAGCACCACAAGTCACTGTGAACAGGATACGTATAACTGGGATCCCAGAAAAGAGACTTTGGGAGAAGTAATACTCGATGGTACTGGCAACGCAACATCTCTGCACAGTAATTTGTATGGAAAACAATTCCTTTATTGACTAAATCTTTTATATTGAAAGTGTCAAGTTTTAGAAGAACCTATTAGCAGCATGCCATGCTTAAGGAAAAAGGAAAAGAGAAACGAGCATGAATTGCACACACTTCTTTGCTGTGACAGCAATTAGCCCGTACTTTTCCACAGTTATTTGAACACTGTAGAAAAAGTGAGCCGTGCTTTAGGGTTATAAAAATTTTATCTTCAGTTACTCAGGGCGAGCTAAAGTTTGGACGACAAAAATCTCCTTAAAATGCCGCCCTTTAAACTATTAGATCTTCTTACTAAGGTTTTATTACAAAAATATTTTGCCTGCAATTACACATAATATTTTAGAGATGCCTGGTAATATCTAGTCCATTTCTTTTTAGAATATCTTAGGTTAAAAAAATTTCAAGATAAAGACAGAGAAAGCAGGATAAAAAATTATTTCTAGCATAATTTGCATTCTTTACACTGACTAATGAAAATCATGTCATTTTTTGTGTCATAACTGAGTAAATGAATCTTTTCCTATGTATGTATGTGATATGTAAAAGTTACCTTTTAATCATGACAGCCTATAAGAAACAAATATATTAAAAAGAACCAAGGTATTTTTTGCCACCTTAGAATATACATTGAAACATTTTATTAAAATTTAAGTTCTTTGGCCCTAGCCAGTTTGGCTCAGTGGTTAGAGCATTGGCCTGCAGACTGAAGGGTCCCAGGTTCTATCCCTGGCTCTGGGCGGGGCACGTGAGGAAGGCAACCAATCAATGTGCCTCTCTCACATTGTTTTCTCTCTCTCTCTCTCTCTCTCTCCCTCCCTCCCTCCCTCTCCCCCCCTTCCACTCTTTCTGAAAAAGCAATGGAAAAAATATCCTTGGGTGAGGGTTAAAAACAAAAATTTAAGTTCTCTGAATTTACATAGTGAGTTTTAAATAAAAGATAACATGCTTTTGCTTCTGTTGGCAAGGTACAATAATCTTCCCATTTTCATTTTTTCCCTAAAATATTTCTTAAGAGACCTTTTTTGTTCTTTTCTCATTTCATGAATTTTTTCTTTTAAAGTTTTTCTTCCTTTGACCTCTAGAGTACACACTTCAAATATGAAGTGTTTTCCCTCCTTTGTAAGCAGCTTTCAGAAGCAAACCTTTCACGCTTCTCCTAATCATGTAGCCCCACCTGCTGGTCATCTCTTGGCACAGCACTGGGGTCTACTGGACCCAATTTTAGCTTGGAGCGCAAGTAACAGGGAAAAAAGGGTCTACACAAGAATAGAAATAAAATATCCCTGAATAAAAGAATGAGAAATGTATATTGTGAGGAAAACTAAAATTTTACTTAAGGCCATAGCAGAAGATATAAATAAGTACACGTTGGATGGTAATGTTCAATACTGTAAAAATTCCAATATCCTCCAAATTACTTCTAAAATATTGTATAATAACCAAAGAATTCTTCATATAACTCAAGATGATGATTCTAAAATTTATATAGAAAAATAAAATTTTTACTCATGCCCATGATTTTTATGATTTTATGATTCATGCCAATGATTCAAATACTTATTTTGTGTTTCTTTTTGAAATATTTTTTATCAAAGCAATATGTGCATATAATTTTAAAAAATAAAAAATAGTACAAGAGGGAATAATGACAAGTGGTAAATCCCTGTCCCACTCTTCTCATCTTTCAAGTCCCCAAACCAGATACAAATTCTTTTCAAGAGTCTGTTTTTAGTTATTCTGGTAGTTACTTCCATTTTTCTTAATAATATGCTTTTTAAACAAATCCTCACCCAAGGATATGTCTGTTTGTTTTTTTAGTTGATTGGAGAGAGAGAGACGGAGACAAACATCGATGTGAGAGAGAAACATTGATCCGGTTGCCTCTCATACATGCCTCGACCAGGGATCGAACCTGCAACCTTTTGGTGTACAGGACGCTCCAACCAACTGAGCCACCCAGCCAGGGCCTTAATAATATGCTTTTATTACTATTTCTTGACCTGACATACTTTCTGTTGATTCTAGCTGTTCCTGCTGTCTCCTCCTCCTTTAACATGGTTAGATTACTATTTTTACCTCCTCTATTGGCTATGTTGGTCACTTTAATACTCTCATTCCCTCAACTGTCACCAGACTCTCCACATTCTATTTCATGAGGTCAAGAGCATCACCACCATTCCATTTACATTTCTTTCCCACTCTGCCTTCCAACCTGTAACCCTGTACACTGTCAAAGTTGGTAACATCTGCATTCTATTTTGTAACCTTAAGTCTTCCTTACGTTGTCTAAGGTTTGACTCTAAAAACTGAAAACCAATATTTACATTATGATTTACTGTTCACTGAGTAGCAAAGTTTTATGCTATAATTAGATTTCCTTGATCCATGTGCCAATGTTCAAATGAATTCCCTTTCTCATACTCTCTACAACTGTTCAGTATCATCTCACATCGTAAGTTGCTTCATAATTAAAGCATGCTTTCTTGTACACTTTGAAATGTTTTTGTTCCCCTGAAGTTTCCAATTGTCACTGTTTTGGAGAATGAGGAAATGGATGCCTTCTACGTAAGTCACTGTGTTTCCCCCAGCTCCTTACTTAATCCATATATTACTTAAAATTTGCTTCATTTCACTTGAGGTCTACTCACTTCCTACTCTAATCTGGAGGACTTGTCTCCCATTTGGACCATACTTGTACAGTTTACCATTCCCTAAATTTCTAGTTGCACTACCCTTTTTTAAAAAATGCATCCTGTACCCTTTCTCATTTTGTAAAGTTTATGCTGCTTTTTTTTTATGGATACAAGTTTCTCAGATACTTTTGAGGATTTTAATATTTTTAAGTTCTTTCCTGTTCCTTAAATTATCTATTTCCTCAAGAGTCATTCTTCATATTATCTTAGGCTTTTTTGGTTATAATGAAGCTTTCAACAAATGGTGATTTTCAAGTCTGTAGGCAGGGCTGGGAGCTTTGCTCCAGGGTGAGTGAGCCAGTGGCTGGGAATTAACTATCCTGCTGAGCCCTGAGGTGAAACAAAGCAAGCAGTGGCTCTGCAGGCAGATGCTGATCATCAAAGCAGAGCAAGTCCATGATGAGTCCACAGGCCAAGTAAAAGAAGGTAGGCAGTGTGCACTTGAACCCCTTATAGAAGAGTGATTTCCTGATCAGTCTTTCTAAAGTGGCTGGGCCAAAGTAACCCTCAATTATTCTGTTTCAATGTCCTGTGTATTTACTTCATACCAGGAGTTGATAATGTATTTCTTGTTCATTATTTGTTTATTTTGTTATGGTCTGACTATACCACAACATTATAAACAAACAGATGCATATGATATATATATAATATAATATGGAGCAAATTCTGATAAAGACTGGGCTTTATAAGCATATGTGACACTCCTATAATCAGGGAAACTCCTCAAAGGAGTGTCTATATAGATCTACTTTATATATATGTATAATATTTATCTATTTTGACATATATATATAAGGTAATTAACTACATATGATCATAACTTTCAAGTCATAACTGTGCTTTGTTTTTGCTCCCCTACACACACACACACACACACACACACACAGAATCAGGCATACAGTCACATTATTCACAGGGCAATGCCATATTTAAGCCTTTCTAGTTTATGAATACCACACTCATGTTACATAAGTTGTTAAGTATAATTCTGACTCATTGAATCATATCCCTAACACCTATATTTCAAACAATTTCTATTTATTTTAGTCAAGAGCAAAATTCTTCCTCATTAAATGTAAATCCTTGCTCACTGAAAATGAACTTCAAGGAGGTTTAATGAACCTGCCCAAGTCAGTACTACAGAGCCAGGTTTGTGACTCAAAGCTCCCCATTCCTGATTCAAGGAAAATACATCTTCCTGGGAGCTCAGATAGCAAAATCTGCTGCCCATCAAAGTCAGCTCTCCTCTTTGCCACCAGTAATTGTCAGTGTTTCCCAGAACTGTATCATTGGCCTTTTCTTGTCACTTTTTACCTTCTGCCTAGAGCTCCTACATGTGTAAGTTTCCACGGCCATCTTTATGCTGATGGCTCCAAAATCTTCACAATCAACTCTCATCTCTATCTTGGGATCCACATCGCTATTTCTAACCAATTCATTGATATGTCTTCAGTTGTAAGTTGAGCATTCATCCTTGCCTCTCAAACTAGCTCTTCTTTCTTTCTGTAAGCCATAATGGTACCAGTACCTTCCCATTCAGCCAAGCCAAGAATCCCCATGCCTTCCCAGTCAAGCCCTGTTGAATCTATCTCCCTATGTTTCCCATATCTCTCTGCACCCTATATCTCCTCTACCAGTCATTCAAAGATATCTAGCTAGCATCTGGCTCATGACTTACACAAACAATGGGTGAGACTTTCATCTTGAAGTATACACTAATCTATACAAAAAAGACAAAGTTTCTAAGTAATTCATTCTGTCAGCATTTAAACTCATTGAAAAATTCTTTCCTACAAGCTAATAAATAGAAAATACTTACTTAAACGGTGTAAACAAAAATGGTAAAGTAACTTCTTTTTTCTGAGTCATTTTCACCTGGGAACCAAGTATGAAAATATTTTATTATATTATAAATGAGAAAAAAATCAACTAATTTCACTTTGAAATGTAAACATCCATTAAAATGGGTCTTCAGGGATGGTTAACTACTTTGAAAATAAATGGAACTTTGTGTTACTATATTATTTCATAAACATTTAAAGAAAAATTTAACATTACTGTTCTATCACAATAAACTGAGAATTAAGGCTATTAAGTCTGCAAAAGACTTAACATATTCTGTAACATAATTAAATTTTACTTTAACTCTAGAAAACAAAATAAGCCAAGCTGCATTAACTGTATTAAGAATAACAGAATGCTTCAGTTAAACGGTCACTTCTTTAAGTTCTTAATGCATATAAATAATGTACATGGAATGACAAAAAATGTTGCAATAACTAATGCTACTTCTATGGGGGCAAATTCCAATCAATAAAGACTTGGTTTGTAGTCTTTATAAGCATATGTGATAGTCTTACAATTAGGAAGACTCCTCAAAGGTAGTTTTACACTCTCACACTGATTCATGGAACCTGAACCTCAGAAATGTGAAACTCTGACACTAGACAAATACACAAAATTTAAAGATAATGACTTATAGAAAGTCATTTCTTAAAACACAAAATCAAACCATGTAATATATTCAATTTTAGAATTGTAGTAGTGTCCATTTTCTCGTGTGTCTTACTTTACCTTAAACTGTTCAAGAATCTGTTTTGCATTTGTATACATGCTCTCTGCTTTGAAGACATCAGTGTTGTTAAGATATTCCACAGGAAGGATTCCCTGTAAATAATAAATACTAGTTTAGTATTATATTAACAGAGCTGAGGCTGTTCTTATAAAACAAAAAAAAACTTATAAAGGAAGCAACGAGACAAGACTTAAGGACAAATAAATTGCTAGGATAATAAAACAAATCTTTCTTTAAACCGTAACTGAAAAGTGTTCTATTATTTTTCTCACAAAGTAAATATAATATAGTGAATAAGTCAAAAGAGATTAATTAAATTCAGTAAAACCTAACATTCATGGAAAAATTACTGTGCACTAGGCAGTGAAGTAAGTACTTTGCACACGCAAAATATCCCTATGGTGGACCACTACTAACATACTTAAAAAGAAAAGAAAATACATTAGTAGGAAATATGAGAGTATATTGTGCATAAAAGAGTAAAGATTATTTTGCGAAACTTTTGTTTTAGTTACACACACACACACATGACTACAGGGCTCATATTACTTGGCATTCTAAGTTAGATTTTTTTGTTTGTTTGGTTTGAAGAGCTAATAAGAATGACTGGTCGGAAAGATTTTTTGTGTTTGTCTTTTGCCTTTTCAGGATTCACTTCCCATTCTTAGCAGCATTATCACTCTATAAGGAGAGATCGCCCCACTGGATATAGTGCAGTGGGTCTCTAACGGGGCCCTGCCTTCCCTTCCTGGAGGATAGACAGATGACCCAGGCTAGACCACTCAAATGGTAAGCACTGGAATTTGACTCTTGAGGCTCAAGGAGCAAAAAGTAGTGTAGACCATGGTTTGGTTCTTTCTTCCAAGTCTCCAGAGTTCTCTTCATTTGTTTTCATTTCTAAACTGAGTTTCTTAATACCCCTTTGAATCAACAAGCCACCAGTATCTTGTAAATAAATTTCCTTTAAATGGATTCAGTTTCTGCTGCTTGCAAACAAAAATTATTTATCTGTTTTCATCACTTTAAATTACAAATATAGACCCTGGCCGGGTAGCTCAGTTGGTTAGAGTAGTTCCAATATGCCAAGGTTGTGGGTTCGATCCCCAGTCAGGGCACATACAAAATCAACCAATGAATGCGTAAATAAGTAGAACGACAAATCAGTTTTTCTCCCTCTCTCTCAAATCAATAACTAAAACTTAAAAAAAACTAAATTACAAATAGAAATCTGTATACATTCTAGGAAATAAAAAATTTTAAAGAAAAACTATTAGCCTTGTACCCTATGTTATAGATTATAATACATACACAACTATAAGGTATTACATATTTAGAAAGAAATATAAAAGAAAATAGTTTTAATATAATCAAAGATTATTCAGAGACACATAAAAATATGGTTTTTTATTCTGAGAGCTGATAAAGAAATTTTGTTCCTTACCACTGAGTTAAGGGGAAAGGGAACTCCAATAAGAGAAGCCATCAATGGTGCAATATCAGCCTACAAACAGAAAAAGTTCAATTTCAAGAAGTCTACGAACATCAAGAAGAAAATTAAGTAATTAAATGCAACTACATTTTGTAATATAAGCTGCATACTCGTTACAATCCATACCTTCAAACATTTATTTAATATGCATTAGATATTGGTCTCTAAAAATGTCATTTGCCAGAGGTACATGACCTTGTGAAAAAATAAATTAAATTAGAAAAGAAACCATTAAAAGCTCCAAATGGAAAACATATTAAAACAAAAAGTTACTTATCCTAGTAGCTAGAAATTGACCACTTTATATAACAGATTTTCAGTGTTATGAAAAAGATGCCTTAACTAGACAAAAAATAAATAGCAGTAACAGACTTTTGCTAGAAAAATGTATATATTAACTAAGGAAAGGATGTATCAGAAGGAGGTTTGGCCAGCCAGTGAAGTCCTAAAAAGATAAACCAGGTAAGAGGCTCTTTAGACAGAAGATCCAAAAACCGTTTTGGATAGTTCCCCTTCAAGTCCGATTTCCCAGAAGAGTTGTTCATGGTATCTGTCTCCATTTCCTCTTCTCCCACCACTCCTTAGCCTACTCTAACTTGACTTCTGATCACCCCCACAGACAACTTTCCCTTAGAGAGTTGTCTTAGGGAGACAACCTTCATTTTTCTAAATCTTATTGCCTGCTTTTATATTAGTCCTTATAAATTTTCAGGCATAAAATTCAGGCTTGGATGTCAGAACGCTCAGTTTCAAATCCTTGCTTGTAATCTCTTGAGACCTTGGGCAGGTCATTTAACCTCTTCGTTGCCTCAGTTTTCTTATCAGTTAAAAAATAAACAAACATAAAACAGAGCTATGGCATGATTAAATGAGATTAAACTTGTAAAGTACCTGGCATGCAACAATTCTGCAATAACTGGTGGCTACAAATGCTGTTGTGATTATTGTAATTGCTTGACCTCTCAGCCACACTGCGCACCCACTCCCTTCTTGATTTCTGCAACACCACACTCAGTTGAGTGTCTTCCATCTCACCGTGGCTCCTTTCCAGATACAATCTCTAGTCCCCCATTTAAAGTAGGAGTTTAGTCCCAGGTCTCGATCCTTCCCCTTTTTACCATCTGGACTCTCTTTACTAAGTACCACACCACAGAAAACTGGAAAACTCCTATGGCCTCCTAATCGCCTTCTTCCCTTCCCCCAGAATCCACTGCTGGTCTTCTCTAATCTGTTCTCCATGCTGCAGCCTGAGAAACCCTCACAGAGAAGCAGATCACGTCACTCTCCAGGATTCAAACACTTCACTGGCTTTCCCAAGCTTTAGGATTAAGTCCACAAGGCCCATACGGCCTACGTGGTCTACTGCACCCTTCTTCTGCCTCACATCACTGAGTCTCCGATGCGCTGTACACCAGCTCTCTCCAAAACCCTTCTATATGCCATGTATCCTCCTATCAGAGTTCTGCGCACATGCCGCTCCCTCGGCCTGAGAAGCCCCCCTCTTAACAGGACATCTTGGCTGACTACAGTCTACCAGATACAGAGGTGCCCCCTTATTGACAGGGGATACGTTACAAGACCCCCCTGTGGATGCCCGAAATTGCAGATAGTACCAAATCCAATATATACTCTGTTTCTCCCTCTACATGCACACCTTTTCACTTAAAGGAAGCACTTTAAGGCTTCTCTTTGGCATATCCAAACTGCCGGCACCCCTACCTACTCTTGCGCCTTGGGGCCATTACTAAGTAAAATAAGGGTGACATAGGACTGTGATACTACAAGAGTGGATCTGATAACTGAGACAGCATGGAAAAGCTGGACAAAGGGATGATTCAAATCCCGGGACGGAATGAGAGTTCATCACACTACTCTGAGTGGCATGCAATTTACAAATTATGAATTATTTCTGGATTTTTCCACATAATGTTTTCACACTGTGGTTGAACGTGGGCAACTGAAACCATGGAAAGCAAAAGCCTGAATAAGGGTGGACTATTGTACATCTGCTCTACGCTCTCATGGCTTCGCAGGTTTTTTTGTAGTACTTACCACAGTTATAACTTTACATTTATTTGTATAATAATTTGATTAGTATCTGTGTTCTCACACCTAAAGTATATTATATCCCTGACACAATGTTTAAACAATATTGCAGACGCATAGCAATGCTGATGGAAGAAATGAAGAGAGAAATTCTCATCTAATGTAGACCTGAAGTAGGATTACTGAGAGAGCAATAGCAGAACCTATATTCAGTTTTTTATTTATAATACAATCTGGCTATAAGTAAAACGTGTTCTTGTTCTACGGTCTTCAAGTTATTCCTATCCCTTTGACAGTCATTTTTACTGCAAGTTAATAAACTGCTATTCTGATTTTATACATTTTCACTTATTTGGGTAATACAAATCCATCCGGAGAGAAGAGGGCATTCTTAATATGCTGAGAAAGAGCAGGCTTCTGCAACCATGGGCCTGAAAAGGAGATCCCAGACCTTGGTTTATCCATCACAGTAAGAACGTCAGCTTGTGAGCTGACCTGGAGAAGGTAAGGCCTTCCTGCCACTTTGGAGGCCACACATCAGCGATGCCAAGCTTTCTACAAGCAGCAAAGACGGCTAGTTATGTAGCATATTTTCAACAATGAAAATTTTGCGCTTCCCATTTACAGATGATGTTAATAATCTAACCTGATCAGGTTGGCCATGCATTTTCCTGATATTTAAGGTTTCTAGCTGGGTAATCTATTCTCCTGTCACTTTTTCCCCCCATTGCATTTGTAAGGATCCTGGATAGAATTAAAGTTAAAATATGTGTTAATAAAAAAGAAATGGTAACTGACATACTACAGGAAAGAAACCTATAATGAGGTTTTATTAGATCTATGCTTAAAGCAATCTAGCGAGGCAAACATGACAAGAAATCACAGGAATTTAACAAGCATGCAAATTTTAATTTACACATAATTCTTTAATTAGCCAGTGTTACTTGGAGGGAGTCCTCTCCTTTTAGTTTTATTTGAGGCTTTTTATATTTTGTCAAAAGAAAGATTACTTGGGTTAAAATATATGCACTGAAAGGACTTCCCTGGGTAACTGAAATGTTTTGAAAGATCAGTTATCATCATTATTATTAATACATGGTTTTTCAGGGCTCTTCTGGCCTAAACTTCTTGCAGGAGATAAAAGTAAATTTGAACATGATTAAATTGAGATGAATACCTGATTGATATCTTGCCTCTTCCAGTACTCCAATTTCCATTCTGAAAGACACAATTAGACACAAAAGCTGATGTTAAGATGAAAAAAGAATAAATCATGTCATTATTATGAATGGTTAGTGCTTGATGAAAAACGTAAGTATTGGAAGTCTGTTTTAAGGCAGCATGAACCAAAAAGGTGCTTAAAAAGGCAGAGCTGTATATGTTTAAAATGAGAATCTTAAAAGAATAACTGAAAAGTAAATACTTGGTGTCTTCTGTGATAATTTATAATATCAAAATGCTCATTTGGAGATAACTGTTTCAAAATATCAAAAGGCTAGATCCCACTTCTAGGAATATATTCTAAGAAGCCTGAAACACCAATCAGAAAGAATATATGCACCCCCAGTTTACAGCAGCAATATTTACAATAGCTAAGATCTGGAAACAGCCCAAGTGCCCATCAATAGATGAGTGGATAAAAAAATGTTGGTACATTTATACAATGGAATACTATGCAGCTGTAAAGAAGAAGGATCTCTTACCCTTTGAGACAGCATGGAGGGACCTGGAGAGTATTATGCTAAGTGAAATAAGCCAGTCAGAGAAAGACAAGTATCACATGATCTCACTTATATGTGGAATCTAATGAACAAAATAAACTGACGAACAAAATAGACTCAGCGACACTGAAGCATGCAACAGACTAACATATTTCGGTGAGGGGAAGGGGGGGATAACCAAAGAACTTATATGCGTATGTGCGTAACCCATGGACACAGGCAATACGGTGGTGAAGGCCCAGGGAGGGGGCAGAAATGGGGTGGAGAGGGTTAATGGGGGAATAAAAGGGGACATCTGTAATACTTTCAACAATGAAGATATATTTTTAAAAAAAGGCTAAAGAAGGAACGATAGAATTAAAAGGCACAATGATAACAACTGTTACTATGCCTACAACAAATCACAATCCTGTTCCTGGGAGTTACTAAGGTATTCATAGTCCGTTAGTCAATTTAAGTTTTTCTGTAATGGCAGCTGCTTGCAAAATACTTAAAACTGTAGCTGTGATGTGCCTACTGTCATTAATCCCAAATGTTAAAATAGTATAAGCTACTATTAAAACTGTCTTCAAAGATAACTCATTCCTCTCTCTTTCTACATATGAATTTAGAAATTTCAATAAACAGTAACCAAAACAATCATGAGACATGTCTTGATTTAATGACTTTAAGATATATATATTACCAAAAGGGTTCTAAGATATTTTTATGATGAAATTTCCTTTAATAAGCTAATAAAGTTTAAAATATGTTCCTGCTTCTACTGGTCAGCTACTAAAAGTTCACACCAATCACCTGATGAGGAAAAAAAGAATATTCCTTTCTCTATAACTTGTAATACTTAATATTCATATAAGAAAAATTACATTCTGTTATGATTCTTGAAATCACGTGATTCTAAAACATTAATTCACTGAGAAACCAAATGCCAAAATACAGTTCTATCTCCTAACTACATACTATTTAACCTAGGTTCTATTTAGGCCCAATGTAATCCAATTACCACAGAGCACAGGAATATAAAACGATGCAAATGCATTATAAGACAGTTCAGCATTCTGGGAAAATTAAACAGAGTTTCATGACCCATTTATTCCACTTCTATGTATCCAGCCAAGAGAAATTAAAACATATGTCCACACAAAAACTTTCACACTAATCTTCATGGCAGCATTATCATAAAAGTAAAAAATGTGAAAACCCAAATGTTCAAAAAATGACTGTCTAAGTAAAATATAGTATATACAGCAATGGAACATTATTCAGCTACAAGAATTAAACTACTGATACATGCTACAACATAGGTGAACCTTGAAAACATTATGCCATGTGGAAGAAGCCAGAGGCAAAAGACCATATAGTGAATGATTCCATTTATATGAAATATCCAGAATAGGCAAATCCACAGAGACACAAAGTAAATTAATGGTTGCCAGATGATGGAGAGAGGATGGGATAAGGAGTGACTGCTAATGGTTTTTCTTAGGGGGGGTATGAAATATTTTGCAATTAGATAGTACAGGTGATTGCACAATCTTGTTAATATAATCAAAAGAATAAATTGTACAATTTTAAAGTGTGAATTTCATGGTATGAGAATTATATCTCAATAAAAAAATAAATTCAAAAAAAGAAAGAAAGCATCTAAGGAAATTTAATATACAAACCAAAAAGAGTCTTCTATAGTAAAAATACCTGGACACAGCTTGAGTCTGAATTCCTGGAGAAGGCTCTAAAAACAAAATTTCTAGGCCACCCAGACTCATGGAATCAAAATATCAAGTCACAAGGTCTGGAAATCTATATTTTAAAAAAAATCTGTATTTTTAACAAAATACAGCTTTGGATGAGTCCAATGCAACTACAGTGTTACCTCGGTTTGGAACGTCTCCGTTGCCGAACATTTCGGGTTACGAATGCCCGGTCCCGGAAGGAAACGCTTCGGTTATCGAACACGCCTCGGGAGTCGAACATGCCCCGCGGCGTCCGCTGAGGGCAAGGTCCTGAGGCCTGGCTGTGGGCTGTGGACCCCTCGGTTTTCGAACGTTTCAGAACCTGAATGGTCTTCCAGAATGGATCACTTTCAAAAACCGAGGGATGACTGTAATCCAGAGTAAGGCATTTGAAAGGAATTTGCTTTGTCCAATTAATAAAAACTTTGGAACTCAGGAAAAAACACCTTACCTTACAAAATAAGCAGAGCTCCAGGAAAAAGGAATTCCTTTTCTTCATGAATTGAGAAGCAAGGGAGGCTTGGGCAAAAGTACTAGATACCGGGCAAAATCTGTCCAGTTGTGAAACATCAATTATGACACCTGTGATTTATCTGATTGGCAGTCTTTGCAAATAAGAAATGACTCAGGGTTTAATCTATAGCCCAGTAAAAATAAGGCACGTGGGGGGAAAAAAGCAATAGTATAACTTAAAGTTTCATAAGGCAAATGACTAAGAGTATATATTTCAAGCTGAATATTATAGACCTAATAATATGAACTATACAAAAGCAATATGGAGAAATAGAGGCACAATATAAAAAGGGAAACTATAACTTGAAAATGATTTTTTTAAATTAAACATTGGTTTTATTTAAAAATGTTATATTTATAAAAACAATAAAGATAAATGTTTATACCTTTCAAAAGCCCATCATCAAACTTCTGAGCTGGTACTTTTTGGGGATATTTGATTCCAGCTCCCCACGCGATAAAAGGAGTAAAGGTCTCTGAAGGATGACCAGCCCCATGGGAACCTACAAAGAGGACAAGAGTAATAAGACAAGTATATACAACCTGACTTATACCTAAATATTCATTTTTTAAATGCTTAAAGTTAATCCACCTATAGTGAATTCTAGCCACCACACTCCCAAGTGCTTGCAACTAACTGTATAATTAGTTTTAAAATATTCCCAAAGCAAGTCAGAGCATCAACAACAAACAGGCGTAAACAAACGAAGAAACATAAAAAGGCAGAACGTCTGTTGAGTGACTCTGGTTGAAAGAAGAAAAAAAGTAAGACTTGGAGGAGATGCCACTAGAGTGGCTCCAAAGGCAGAAAGAATGGGGCAAGTGCCTCTGGGGAGTTAACCAGCCAAGTCTGGAGCACGCAGCCGAGGCCAGAGCTGTTCTAGAGAACAGCAAAGTCTCTAGATGTTTCTCTTCTGGGCCACTCTGGCTGATTCAGCCAAAAGCCGTTCGCAAAGTGGAGCCAGCTCATGAGAATTCCAAACTGTGATTTGGGGACCCGAACCTCATCTTTGCCTCTTTTTGTTCTCTGTGCACACAGTGTTTGCCTTGGGAATCTCACCGGAGGACGGGATCGACGGTGCATTTTGAGTAGCCAAAGGTCCCCTGGTAGCACCACCTTAACCCCGCGCCCTTTCCCATCATGTACAGTGAACCCTACGTAGATAAATACTGGTACTTTTTTTCTCCTCCTGACTTTTCTCTGATTTCTCGTTTTGAAAATATATTCTTTCTCTAGCTAGAAGACTCTTAAGCTGAGAATTTTTTACACTAACATTTTAAGCATACAATTATGTGCTAGACACTTTGCATACACTGAGACATGTGATACCCAACCTTGTATCGGCAAGCTCCATTTACCACTACTTTAAGGATAAAGTACACATTGCCTAAAGATAGACTAACCCCAGTCAGTCATTCCATGGTCAGAGGTAAAGAGAAATACTGTTTTCTCATCATTTCCATAAAACTCTTTAATCAGGGACACAAGTTCTTTAATTCCCTCATCAACTAGTTTAATATTGTCCTTATATTCCCTGTTTAAAAAGAAAAAAATAACAAATTAAATTACATTAACTTGGAAAAATAAAATTTATTCAACATGAACTCACGACATTCAAAGTTAGTAATTCCTGAAATACTTTTAGATCTCATCTTTAACATTTTAAAATCAGACCTCTTCAGATTATTAAAAATAATGTTCTTTGTTTAAAGAAGCAAAAGAATATGAAATAGTTTTCAGAAATGATTTGAGGAGGGTAGTGATTAGCAAATACATTTTAATGAATGCTTTTTAAGTCTCAAATGCAATAACGATGCCTTTCATGTCTCTCATAATGCAAACGATATTGTCCTTGCCGATAACTGTTTCAAGTATAGAATTTTTCATCCCATGATATAAGATAATATCATATCATATCATATCATATCATATCATATCATATCATATCATATCATATCATACCAGATATGCTTTTAACAAACTACATTTAAGCTTTCCAAGCCTATACACTTAAAAATGGCTAGGATGGCAACACTGGTTGGACAGGCTGGTTTGCTATCAGTTAAAACAGTGCATCATGTGAAAGAAGGGGAACACAAGGTATTCTTTACGGGCAGCTAACCAATAGGCTTTACAGTTAGACTAATCTAACCTAAATTCAAAATAAAGCATAAAAGTCTAACATGGATTCTTCCAATTTCTTACAACCTGCAAAAGTGAAAAAATATTTGTTATTCCTTGTAAAGAGTGCTACTGAAATGTAGTATAAAACACTTTATACAATTATTTGCTAGATATAATGTTGATTAAATGGAATATGTAAGGAATAGCTAATTACATCTTTTTGTGATATAAATATTAACACCATAAAAATGCTTTGATTTCAAGATTTACTGAATTTCTAAAATATATAATTTTTTCTCTGCCTCAATACATGAAGAACACAGGATGCATTTTACTTAAATTAATGTGCAGTCTGGCCACAGCGCATGTGATTTTAGCTTCTATATCAATCCATAGCTCATATAATAGGGAACTTATTATACTTTAGAGTTATTTAAAATATAAGTTTTGTTGTGATAATCACAAAAAAATATACTTTAAAAGTTGAAACAGAATGGTTGTTTCCCACAAAAACAAGAAATTAATTAAAATTACCTCGATGTTGATCGGTGAGCATGTCCGTTTGTATCTATTCCTAATAGATGTAAGAACAAAACTATTTTCTCATCATTTAGTTTAGAAAATAAAGATTGGTTGTTTCTGGCAGCACGAAGGAATTCCTATAGGTAACAAATCAGTTAAAAATTTTTAGGTGATTTATTGTATTTATAAAATAATTATGATGAAAACATTTAATTAAATGTATACATAACTATAAAATTATGTTATTTTGTTTAAATTTGTCCTCAGGCCTACCACCACAAGGTTCTTGTTGTTATATGAGACATCTATGTTCAAATAGGGAGTGAGCTATTTTCTGTGGCCAAAAAAGGTTACAGAAAGGAGATTTGATTTCACAAAGATTTCATAATATTGAGATCACAGAACCTGGCCTGGTAGCTCAGTTGGTTAGAAAATCATCCTGATACACCAAGGTTGAGGGTTCAATCCCTGGTTAGGGCACATACAAGAAGCAACCAATGAATGCATAAATAAGTGGAACAACAAATCGACTCTCTCTCTCTCCCTCTCTCTTTCTCTCTTCCAAATCAGTGAATAAAAATTGAAAAAATATATATTGAAGAAATATTTTGACATGAACCCAAAATAAAACAGTACTAGTGGCTTTAAGGGAACACAGAAAGGGGTCATCTAAGTGGAACGGGAAGTGGGGTGAAGCAAAGGGAAGCCATGGGAAACTTAACAGAGGAGATGATGCATAAACTGAGTTTTAAAAAGCAAAGAGATTCAACACAGATGAGCTTTAAGGATATTACACCAAGTGAAATAGCCAGTCACAAAAAGACAAACACTGTATGATTCGTTTCTATGTGCTTACTGAAGCAATCAAATATTCAGGAACAGAAAGTAGAATGGTGGTTGCCAGGGGCTGGGGAGAGGGGGAAAATGAAGAGTTGCTGAATGGTTATAGAGTTTCAGTTCTGCAAGATGAAAAAGTTTTGGAGGCTGGCTACACAACATGAATATACTTAACACTACTGAACCTGTACACTTAAAAATGGCTAGGGTGGCAAATTTTCGGTTCTGTGGATTTTACCACAATTTTTTAAAAAAAGGGAGTAGAAATTTGCATGGATTTGTAAACTGGCTTGAATTAAGCATGAGTCTGGCCAGGGCACAAAGTCCAGGTAAGACCCTTGACTCTGTCTCCAGCTTGATGTCAACCCTCGTTCCCAGGCAGCAGTCCCGCCATTCTAACCTCCCCTTGCTTCAGAGTTCCTCAAGTCCGTGCTGGCTCTTCCTTCAGGGCCCAAGTTTCACAGAATGCTGCTGGCCTGAAATCAGCTGCTCTACGAGCAATCCTGATCCATCCTTTCCCTTTGTCTTCCATATTTCTTCAGAGATCATCTCAAAATTCTTCCCATAACTGTCCGGTCTAGATCTAAGTTTTCTAAAACATATTCTTAGTCCCTGTATTTTTCCTTCACACTGTTTATACCTGTTGATTTCATATATTTGTTGTTACTTGATTAATAGATAAGTGTCTTTACTATATCTTATGAAGTCACAGGCAAGACTTTTTTCTCTTTACTATCATATTACAAATACTAGCAATGCTGAAATAAAAAAGGGAAAAAGGCATAAAACCAGGCCAGCCACCAGCTATGTATGCTCATCCACAAGAAATCAAATTCACTGAGTTGTGCTAGTATTTAAGCAGAGGCTAACATAAATAACTAGATCATATTAAGAAGTGATGATTAGCAAAGGAATTCACTAATTATTTTCTTAAAGAAATTTTATTTAACTTGGACGTTTTCCCTGTTGACAAAAGTCTGTGTTACATGAATAAAGAAAATTTCAAGGAACAAAGATCCTAATAAAAGAAACAGGGATTATCAAAGAATGTACTGAGCACTTCATTCCTGCTAAGTACATACAAAGACAAAGACAAACACACACTGACGAGTATATTTACAAACAAATGAACAAAAATGACTTTATATTACGAAGAAATCGACAATGTCACACATCTCTGATAAAAAGAAGAATCATTAGGGGCCAATCAATGAAAACTTCTTACAACAGATGAATTATAAGTTATAATTTGAAGATGGGAAACAATGTATTGATAGAAAGGAGAGAGCCAATAGTCACAATTGAGATTTTCCCACAATTTTTATGAATTTTAATTGGATTCCTAGTGAAACTGTGATAACAGTCACTATCAAATAGTCAAAAACACTCAGAAACACATAAATATTTTACTATGATTAATTTGCTAATTTGTTTTTACTTTTCTAATTTTTCTTTAAAGTACAATGTTTTTTAAAAAACACACAACCATCTACTTTATGTTGTTATAACTGCATTACAGTTAAACAGTATTTTTCAAAGGGCTTCCACACATCCCCCAAGGTGCCACACTGTAAGAGACTGGTTAAGGTTTACACTTAGGATGATTCAGGAGACCAGGAATAAAATACAGATTAACTAAACTCCAATCTAGGGCTCATTTTACTGTCAGAAACACATAGTTTAAAAAGTTATCTTTCCAAAATTATTTTTTAAACTATTAACTAGTTATTGTAGGATGTATAATTTCTTAGAATTCAGTCTTTTAAAAATAGTGTGCTGTAATATATAACTTTAACGTTCACACAAGTAGAAAATAAGATGCATTCACTGACAAATCAGTTTCTAGTAGTTTAGGTAGAAATATGTGTGCTGTACACTAACCACTCAATAGCATGTACCTTAATATTATCAAAGACCCATGTATCCAGTTTGGTTACATCCTGGGCACCAAAATCCTCATCGTCAGCATCATAACTATATGTAAAAACATGGTTTCCTGTAGCACCTGAAAAGGAAATTGGGGGGAAAAACTTAAACAACAATCTTTTAAACTGTTAGAAATATTAAATAGTCATTTAACAATTTTTGTGAGTAGACAGAGTTTTTCACAAAGCATTTTGGATTATGATGGGAAAGAGGAAAACAGGAGGAATAATTAACATTTATTTTATGTACTATGGACCATGCTTTGTACTTTAACACATTCTGTTGCATTTTGTTCTCACAATAATATATTCTAATTTTACAGATACGCTACATGTAAGTTAACTTGCCAAAGTGATAATGCTACTACAAAAAAATAAACACCAAAGTTTGTCTCCCTTTAAGGATTAAACTATTCTCTTTTTTTGGTGTGTGTTGGGATGTTATAATCTAAAATAGATGATGTCATTTAATTTACAAAACTTCCTAAAGCAAGAAGAAAATTCAAATAGTCACTTCTCTTAATCAAAGACTATGAGTATATTTCTTAATATAAGGGAATAGATATTACTTATTGCCAGTTTGACGTGGTAAACAAATATATTAATTTTATACATTTGCAATATGTTATCAAGAATCCAATCAACTTAGTGAGTTTCTGAGTTAGATAGGCCCTTACAGATCATAAGGAAGACAATCTCTTACAATACTAGTTTAGCTCTATTGACGCTAGTTATTCCACTGCTCAGCCATTCTAATTCCCACATCCTAAGTAAAGATCTGAGTGGGTGTGTTGGTTACCATAAGAAATGGAACATTCCCACTGGACTGTATTGGATTCAGGCACTTGGCCCTATCCTATCAACTGTAGCCAGAAGCAGGAAGGTAAGTTAAATAAGCCACTAGTACCCCCAAAAGCTAAACTGCAGTCCAAAGAAGCAAGTATAATGGCAAGTAGTTTGAGGTTTTTTGGCCTGCCTACATAATAATGTTCTATGAATATCATACAAAAATTCTGAATATGTATTTTGCTTTCAAGACATAATAATCTTCAATATTCCCAACTATTATAATACCATGGCTAAGTATAATGTTACAAAAACTTTTCATTAAGTGAAATGACCAATCATTCTGCTCCCACTAAAAGGCACTTAATGACATAAAATTGAAATACAAAGTGATTTTAGAAAATAATATAAATTTTATGATCAAAAGATGTTCTAATACTTGCAGATTGACACACAGAAACAAATACAACAAATCCAAATGGCAAGATCTTGAATATATGAAAATAGGAATCATAAACATAATTTTAATGTTTAAATCTTTATGTGACTATCTACCAATTTCTTTTTTTTAATTTTTTTACCAACTTCTTAATAACTCATCAATGTGAAATGAACCAGACATCAATATCATCATCATGAGGAGTTATATGATAAGCACTTTGCTAAATGTTATACAGGAATTACCTAATTTAATCCTAAAAACAAACTTATGACATAAAATTATTATATTTACAAAAATTCAAACTGAAGTTCAGAGAAGTTATCTAACTTGCCCAAGATTATAAAGCTGTTGAATGTTAGAGCCATATATCATTTCACTGAATTCAAGACACTAACAACTATATAATGTGCCAATATTTCAAGTACAACTAAGAAGAAAAAATCAAATTGACGTGTCTGTCCCTTGCAACACACATTCCTATTTCAGAAATGTTAAATACGTTAAAACATGTATCTCAAAATCAATAAAATACTGTTAGTATATAAAAAATTACCATGTCAATTTATTAACCTGTTTACTCTCTGAGAAAATATAATCAGTGACTCTTACCTTTGGCAAACATAGTCATGATATCTGGGCTTCCCCAGCCCCATGTGTACTTGCTTTCATTGATAACAGAATCAAATTCTACAGGATTTTCCTTCCATCCTTCAGGTAATTGAGAAAAAAGCAAATAATGACAATAATATATACACAGTGAGGTATTAGTATAACCCCTAAAGAAGTCTTCTTCAAATAATAACAATGAGGATTAATCACATAACAAATGCAAAAGTAATAACAGATTTTGTTACATGTATCATGACACAAATTTCTTAAAGTTTACAACGGATAATTTACTTATTAAAATTCAGAATTATTTTGAACTTTTGAGAGTTAACATTTAGGAAAACCATAGATCCACCCAATCACACTGTTTTAATAGCACAGGATGATATAAGACTAAAGCTTCGTTCTAGAATCAATACTGGTGTGAGTTTATGTAAGGCGTGCTAAATAGTTGTGAAAAGTATCTCGAAATAGCCTGGCTAGCGTGGCTGAGCAGTTGAGCATCGACCTAGGATCCTGGCAATAGAGGTTCGATTCCCAGTCAGGGCACATGCCCTGGTTGTGGGCTCGATCCCCAGCAGGGGGCATGCAGGAAGGAGGGAGCCGATTAATGACTCTCTCATCACTGATGTTTCTCTCTCTCTCTCCCTCTCCCTGAAATCAATAAAAATATAAATATATATTAAAAAGTATCTCAAAACATCCTTCACCTTATGTCATGATTCAGTGCCAAAGATGCAATATTTACATAACAAATTTTTCACATAATGAAATTGTCTAGACAATACCTTTGACGACTGCACTAACATCTTCATAAAACCCAGCTATCAGGGCTACATGGCCCGGCCGAGATTCAGTTGGCACACGTGTATGAGATATCCCCCAGCTGCCTTCGTGCATTATGACATTCCTAAAACATATTACAGATGAATAGTTAACACAGACTATAATTAAATGCTCTGTTAAGAGTATGGATGCCTGGCTGGCGTGGCTCAGTGGTGGAGAATCACCTATGATCCAGGACACCAAGGTTCGGTTCCCGGTCAGGGCACATACCTGGGTTTCGGGCTCGATCCCCAGCAGGGGGCGTGCAGGAGGCAGCCGATCATTGACTCTCTCGTCATTAATGTTTCTATCTCTCTCTCTCTCCCTCTCCCTTCCTCTCTCTGAAATCAATAAAACATATTTTTTTTTAAAAAAGACTATGGTAAAATAAGACTTTTACAAAAGGAGTCAAAACCAAAAAAGTGAGTCAAAATTTAAGAAGGAAAGAAATTCTAGTCCCAGCTGAGCCCAGTCCTAGCCCTCCCACCAGTGGATTCAGTAGCATAAGTGAGCCCAGCTGGACAAAGAACCACCCAACCACTGCATAGAATCAAGAGACAAAATACACCCCTGTTGTTTTAAGCCACAAAGTATTGAAATGGGTTTTTAACATAGTAAATGATATATACACTAATGTTCTATCAATGTTCAATTTTATTAGGTGTGATGATGGTACTGCGGTTATATAGGAGAAAGTCCTTGTTCTTAATACATACATGCTGAAGTGTTTAGGGATGAAGTGTCATATCTTTTCACAAATTTTTATTCTTTTTTAAATTATTCAACTACAGTTGACATTTGATATTACATTAGCTTCAGGTGTAAAGCATAGTGGATAGACATTTATGTAATTTACAAAGTGGTCTACCTGATAAGCCTAGTACCCACCCGGCACCATACATGTTATTACAATACTATTGACTATATTTTTAACTTCTTAAGTTATATAATGAGAACTGAACTTAAACAGAAAGAGGAAGGCACAAAGAAATTTGGATACCTCTGTTTAAAAACACTTTGATCAGTTCAGATCATCCTTTTTCCAGAGATGTCTTTGTTCCAGCTGACATGCTTACCTAATAAATGGTGCTCTAGAATTCCCCTTTTCATCTAATTCATAAAGTGCATCTGCCCGCAGGCCATCAGCAACAATGAGCACTAGTCTTCTTGCTGGAGGAGGCAATGGTGTAAACTGAGGAGCCATCCCATGAACCAAAGGAGACGTAAAATAAATGTCAAAGATGGAGGCGAAGAACACAAAATGTACGAGCAATCCCACAATAAAGAAGAGCAGCATATCCAGTGTAAATAATAATCTGCAAGAAAAGCTGAAAGAGGGAATGAAATTAAATTTGGGTAAACCTTAATGCAATTATATATTTCCACATATCTTGATGACTACATGTAGACAGAACAAATATTTTAAAATATTACATAACTTACAACTTCATTTTTGGTAGTAACAATAAACATTTTTTAACAATGAAATGGTACTGAAATAAAATACATGATAAAATACACTCAAACAAAAAGTAAATGTTCAAGTATAATAAGCACTTATACGCCAATAAACTATTTATAATAAAGTTAAATGTATATTAAGCTCATAAAAACTAATATAGGATCAAAAAACAAAGAAATAACTAAATGAGCCCTAAAATGAGTTAGGGTTTGGTCTAATCAAATCCTGTATAAAATAGAAAATATAACTCATGGTGCTCTTGGCTGCCTATATGACATCCATTGATATTTTCAGAATTTTAACATCATCTAACTGTGTGTGGATTTTTTCAACATTTGCTTATTAGCTCAGGAGACTTCTAGCTTCTTGACTATCACCAAGTTGTGCAGACAACATGCATTTTTGTCCAGTTAGCTAAATTATAGGTGGAAAAGGTAGTTAAATTTCATCTGTGCTTCAGAAAATTTGCACTCACTAAGGGAACACTGTTTTAGTTCCCTGAACACCAAAACAAGAAAGCAGGAGGTCACATTCATTTGATCAATAAAAATGTTCTGTGCACATATTATGTGCATAATTGTGTGCAGGGGTATTACGGAGAACACCAAGAAAAGACAGTCACAGATCTGATGATCTGATGAACTTACAAATATTTAGTGAGGGAAAACTACACAATGTGAAATGAAACATTTAAGTAATACTTTTAAGACAGTATGACATTAACTGCCAAGATCAAACTGCCTGTGGGAGTGTGTTGCAAGCCAGCATTTTTCCTAGTCAATTGAGATCTTGCTTCTAGGTTATCCTCTGTTTGGCTCAAATTTTTATAAAAATTCTCCATAGGTTTGTATGTTCTTACATCAACAATCATAATGAAATACTACGCATCATTGAAAATGAATTAGGCCACATCTATGACAAGGATACATCTCATAAATATAAGGCTTAGTAAAAAAAACTTTTTTTAAGGCATTAATTGCCCTTTTCTCCCTAATACCACCTAACTTCTAGAAAATACTGAATACAATCTCTTTTTACCGGACCACCTAATTATCAAACAACTTAAATTGAGCCTTTGTTTCCATTACATCAGAGAGAAAGCTTTCACTAAGGTAGCCAATACTGCAAAATCCAATGGCTATTTTTCAGTCATCTTTCATGGCTCATCCATTCCATTTGTCTTCGCTAATCATGCCTTGTTTTAAAAATAGCTCTCATTTCTTGGCTTTTTTGAACATTACTTTTTCAGTTTTCCTCCTACATCTCTGACCAGTGTAGAATGTGCTTTCTGGTCAGTGAATTTTCAGGTTACTCAAAACTTGGTTGTAGGCCCTCTTCTCTCCTTACTCTACACTTCCTGTTTAGGCATTTTTCATCATATTGGCTTCAGTTATCACCTATATGCAAAAGTCTCAACAAATTATAGCTCCAAATCCATATACATAACTCCAACCCTGACACATCCACTTGAATGTTAAATGCAAACTGAGTACATTTACAATCAAAATCATGATATAACCCCCCC